TTATTTTATGTTGAGAGGAGATCTTGCTAAGTTACCCAGGCTGGCCATGAACTTGTGATACTCCTGCTTTAGTCTCCCAAGTGGCTGGGATCACAGGCATTTACCATTGTGCCAGCCTTTTGTCTATTTTTATATTGGGTTGTTTTCTACAATAAAAGTATTTTCTCACTGAAATGTGGTTCCTTACATATTTTGAATAGGTCCTTTGTCAGAAAGTTCTCTCACAAATTAAGATGCTTCTGAATATAAGTATAGAAACTCAAAACTGTTTAATGATTGCATTTTGGTATTTTATTTTTAGTTATTTTAATTTTAATTATTTTGTAGATATAAATGTCAGTATGTTTTTTATTTACATGCTTGGTTTCCAATAATGCAATTCTCTAAAAATGTAAAAAACAGAAAATTTTTGTACATCACCAGTAAATATTCCTCCACACATCCCCCCACAAGAAAAAAATAAAAAATCATTGCCATTGTAGAAACTACATTGGTTTCAGAGTGGTTCTTTAAAGACTCAAATTTTCCAGAATAGAATAGACATTATGATTGCTGTATGTATATAAGTGACTCTATGACCAATGGGATTCTGCAATCTGTACAATCAGAAAAATGAGAAATTATACCCCAATTGATTCAAATGTATGAATTGCCAAGATCATTGTAATGTCATGTGTCGCTAAAAAAAAAAAAAAAAAAAGACTCAAATTTTCTAAAAATCCAAAGATAATGTGTACTGTCATGCAAGTTTGTTTTTTTTTGTTTGTTTGTTTTGTTTTTAATGCCAGGGATCTAATCCAGGGCCTTGCACATGCCAAGTGCTCTACCACTGAGTTTACATCCCCAGTGCTCATGATGAGGTCTTTGTTGTTTTTGTTCTTTAGCATCAGCTTTGTTGCAACACTTCTGTAGTTCAGTTACTTTTATTATGAGTGTGTATAGATACTTGTAAATTCTAAAACTATAAAGTACAAATGTCAGCAGAGTGTCTCATTTCTTTGGATGCAGTGATGAATTACATGTGTATCAAAACAAGTTCCTAGTAAATTTCTATTTTGTGGTTTTTTTTTAATTCACTGAAAATGTTATTTTCCTATAGGTCTACCAACCTTCATATTTATATTATCAACATAGAAGCCAATAATCTCACCTTCATTATTATACTTTTTAAATGGTTTTACTTTCATAATCACAAACTTTGAAAAAATTTTTGTTTTCTCCCCATGATTGGGTTAGAAAAAATAAATCCATTATTGGAATTAACAGACTTTCTGTTTCAAACACCAGATGACACTAATGCAAAACTGGTGTCCTTGAGCTATAAGATTTTCCTATTAAGCCAACATATGAACAGCTTTGCTTTTTTTGTATGTGTACAAGAATGTGGATAAAATTAACTTGGAAGAGTCATTTGATTTAAATGAAGTTATGTTCTGCAGAATGATTGATTAAATGTACCATTTGCAGCTGCATATGTTAAATTGTTGCCTTTAAAGTAGATACTGATGCTTCTTCAGCAGATTTATTTCTTCTGGTTTTCATCTGAGAAGTAATATCATTCTGTCCCCCACAGCATATCACATATATATAGGTTTATCAACTTTCTTGGAAACAAATGTGATTAATTTTTCATTAAATGTGAAATTCCATTTTTTAAGTTCTTTGCTGCAGAAAGGTGTTACCAAATTGTAAATAAATACATTTGTAGATTTAGATAATACAATAAAGGTAAAATCACTGTAGCAAAAGTGGTCAGAATATTCTATATGTGCTCTATAACAGAAAGGCTGAATTTTTACTTCCCATATGAATTTTACAGATACCCAGCTTTATTTTATGTTTACTCCACCTGGCTACTCTGTGCAGGTTGTGGTATAAATCATGGAATAACTGGCTTTAAAACAGGAAGCTGGTGGGGACTTGAATACTGGAAACCCCTCCCAGCATCACCTGAAGCTAGATAAAGTTAGTTGTTCATAGCCATTAGTTTACTTCATAAGGGAGCAGGTAGTTTTATCAGCAAGGGCTATCCTTGAAAGGGAGTTGTTTCTTGTACAAGATCAGGATGACACTGGTAATTGCCTATCTTTCTGATTTTACCATTTGTTAAAATGTGGATTCTGTTCACTTCCCATACATCTCACTTGTCACTAATCAGACCAAAACAGATTAGAACTAGAAAATAGAGGGCTACTAAATCTCTCCTAGCTGTATGTTTGTTATTGTTGTTCTAATTAGTTATACTTGACAGTAGAATGCATTTTGAAACATCATACATAAATGGAGTAAAATTTCTCATTTTCTGGTTGTACATGATATAGAGTTACTCAAGTCATGTAATCATATGTGCACATAGGGTAATGATGTCCAATTCGTTCTACTATCCTTCCTTAGCTGGCTTTTTTACTGCAAAAATTGGTAATACTTTTTATTCTTTTAACAACAACAAAAAAAATCCATGACCATTGCTAGAATACATTAATGGCTAATAACTTTTTTAGGGACTCAAATCACATATCATGTTATATACTCATTTTATCCTCTAATTTTCCTCTACTGCACTTAATTGCAGTTGATAATTTTATATTGAATTGCTAATTTAATTTTATTTTCCACCTGCCCCACTGGATCAGAAGCTGCATGAAGAGCTTGTTCTCTTACATTATATCCAAAGCACCAAGCATAGTGAGTTGGGCATAATAAAGGCTCAAAAAATATTTGTAGAATAAATGAAAAAATGAACAAGTAAATGCACAGAACAGAAGGATCATCAGAAAATATGTTCAGTTGATGCCTAACTAAATAATAAAAAGCCTTCAGGGAACTGGGACAGCATTCTTTTGCAAGTACCTCTGGCTTGTATAGTACATTCTGAGCGTACAATAGGTATGTGTAATGTTTAATAAAATGTGTGAATTTTACATACATTAATGTTTATAAAATAATTCTAACACAATGCTGTCAGATAATTGCTTAGGCACTTATGTGTTATCTAATCTTTACAAAAGCATTGTTGTACAATATTTCTCTGCTCACTTTACATATGAATTTACAGTAGAAAATACCTTGTCCTGGGTCCTAAAGATAGTAAGAGCATCATAACATTTTTTTAAATATTTATTTTTTAGTTTTTTAGATGGACACAATATCTTTATTTTACATTTATGTGGTGCTGAGGATTGAACCCAGTGCCTCATGCATGCTAAACGAGCACTCTACCACTGAGCCACAATCCCAGCCCGCATCATAACATTTTTTATTCAGTCCTGGAGATATAACCCAGGGCTTCTTGCATGCTAGGCAGTGCTCTACCACTGAGCTGTATTCTCAGTTCCAAGAATGGGAATTTGATCACATTTCTTCAATTCTGTTTAAGTTAATAGGTAGACATTGTGTCATTGAAAATTATAAGTATTTAAAAAAAAAAAAAAAAAAACAAAAAACCCTGCTAACAATGACAAAGGATGTAGAGTAAGGTATCCAGAAGGGCTCAGTCCAGGTCTGGTATGGCACTTATACTATCAGAGGCTCCAGAGTATTTTCATCTTCCTTCTCTATTGTGCCCAGCAAGTGACTACATCCTCTTTATTATGTTTGCACAGGTAGCTGCTGCATCTGTGAGAATTACATCAATTCCCAAGAAGGGATGGTGAAATGTCTCCTAAATAACTTGCTTGGAAGCCACATTGGGTGACTTGTGCTTATGATCTCATTGACTAGAAACAAAATACATGGCCACCCCTCGTTGCAAAGATTCTAGGAAAGTCAATATTGATGTCTTTTGATGTTGTTTTGGTTCTTTTAGTTTCTTCAAGTTTACCATTGAAAATCCTAATACATCTTCAAAAGTATATGACTACAAGGTTGAAAATCCTGTGCTGTATGTACAGTGAGGGATTTTGTTTGTTAAGTTAGAAGGTATTGTGTGGTTAGGTTGTGCCTTAGAAAACGTGCACTTGTGTCTGTGGTGAGTGGTTGGAGTAACAGAATAGATCATTTAGAATACCTTTGCAGTAATCCAGCTAAGGGCTTTTACTTTCCCAAACTAGGGAAATGTTTGTAAGAATAGAAAGGAGATTCAGGCTGGAGTTGTGGCTCAGTGGTAGAGCACTTGCCTAGTATGTGTGAGGCACTAGGTTCGATTCTCAGCACTGCAAATAAATAAATGAATAAAATAAAGGTCCATCAACATTTTTAAAAAATTCTTTTAATAATAGAAAGGAAATTAAAGATTCCAAAAATGTAGGACTCAGTGGTGATGGTTAATTGTCTCTGCGGAAACTAGAAGAGGGTGAAGAATTAAAGATGGCTCAGATTCCTAGTTGAATTGAATGAATGGTACTACCAGCTGAGACTAAAGAAGAATAAAGGAGAAGGTTTATAAAGTGCCTTTTTATGACAAAATGTGTTTGAAATATCTGGATTTTTTTCATGCGTCGATCTTTAGTCACTGGGAAAAAAATTAGGATGCTATATTATATGTTATTTTTTTATTGATAATTTTCCTTAGGAATATATTTGGTTTTTGTTTTCTAGAAGTTTCTGGCATTTTATAGTCAGATTTTATATATATATATATATATATATATATATATATATATATATATATTTCTGGCTTTTGTGTCATAGTTAGGGCTTTATTTCAAATGAGAAATATTTATCTCTCTTTTTTTTTTTTCCTTGTACTTCTATGGTTTAAATATTGACAGGAATTTCATTTTGAAGAGTAAGAAAAATGAAGGGAAAAAAAGGGAAGGGGTTTTCAATTGTTTGAATACAATTAAACATGACTACTATTTCCAGCATGTATTACAAAACATGAAAATATACTATACTGATTTTTTCTCTTAAAAGTACCCCCAAAATTTATTTATTTATTTATTTTGGTGTTGATATCTTGAGAAGTACTTTACTTTTTGTTTCCTTCAAAAAATAAAACATCCCCAAATTTTAAAAATTTATTATAAATTAAAATAGTTATTTCACATATATTCTGACAGCAGGAGGATGCATTAGCACAACAGGCCTTTGAAGAGGCTCGGAGAAGGACACGTGAATTTGAAGATAGAGACAGGTCACATCGGGAGGAAATGGAGGTGAGAGTTTCACAGCTGCTGGCAGTAACTGGTTAGTACTTTCCCCAAAACTCTCAGGCTGTTTGTGATATATGTGCATAATATTTTTTAATGCTTTAATTTTGACTTTCATTTTAAAAATTGTACTTGCTTATTCTATTTGTTAAATGAAATTGCTATAAAGAAACGTATTCTAATTTTAAGGTTGTATGTGAATTCCTCATTTATTGTTTTTCATAAAAATTATTTATTACAATAAAGTATATTTTCCTCTTAATTCATCAATCTAAATATTTTTGAGATTATTTGTAAAAATTACCAATGTTAACATAGAACACTATTATTTTGGGGTTACTGGGGATTTAACCCTACAGCACTTTACCATGGAGCTATATTCCCCAGCCCTTTTATTTTTTATATTGAAACGGGGTCTCACTATGTTGCCTAGGGCCTCAATAAGTTGCTGAGGCTGGCCTTGAACTTGTAATTCTCTTGTCTCTACCTCTGAAGTTATTGGGATTATAGGTATATGTCACCATGCCCAGCAAATTTAATAATTTTCAAACTACTCAAAGAATAGAATTAAGAAACTACTTCTCAACATTTGTTTATTACAGAATAAAATACAGGAAAGTGTGTTATGCAGTTTTAAAGTTTGGTATCTTTGTTGGCATGGACATATATATTTTTTCCTATATAAAATTGGAGCCTGCTTTAAGCAGATCTCAATTATAAGAATTAAAAGAATACATAAATGGTTGAGTACTAAAAATTCTTTAAAAATATATTTGAACAAAATAAAAATAAGAACTAGTGTGTTTTAAAAATGTTCTCGGAGGTTAATATTAATATCTGTCATTCTTCCAGTTTATAAACTTAGTATCAACATGAACATTTCCTACAAGAAGAAATAGAGTTAGCATGGACACAATACCTTTATTTTATTTATTTTGTAGTGCTGAGGATCAAACCCAGTGCCCCAGCCCAGCATGTGTTCATTTTTAATTAGGTCTATTAAAGCATTCATTTTATCAAATATGGTAATCTCTTTATTAAAATTTAATTATAGTATATCAACTAAATAGAATAATTTCCAGCCATGAAAAACAAATGTTTTGTACCTAAGGGAATCAAATTTATAATTACAGAAGGTAAATGGTGGTTACCAGGAGAAATGGGGAATGACTATTAAATGGGTATAGAGTTTCAGTTTTGTAAGATCAATCTGTTCTAGAGATGAAACATACTACAGTGTCACTACTGAACTGAGTGCTCAAAAATGGTTAAGATGGTAAATTTTATGTTATGCATTTTTACCACAGTTTTTAAAGTTTTAAAATCATTGTTACATAATACAGAAACTTTATAGGTTTTTTTTCCAAGCGCAAAATTATATATACAATATCATTTAATGTAAAAGTGTGTATGTGCGCATGCACACATATGTGCATGTTTACAAAGATAGTGTTAAGAGCCTAGACTAGAGCCAAACTGAGTTCTGAATCTAGTGGTACCACTTACTTTGTCACATTGGACTAATAACTTCACCTTTCTGTGACTATGTTACTCATATATAAAACAGGGTTATAATGAGCCTGTCTTCTAGGGTCATTGTGAAGATTAAATAAGTAAATACATGGGAAAGCACTTGTAGAGCATGTGGCACTGATTAGATGTCAGCAGCTGTTATTGTTACTATGTCCTTTTGTGTGGTATTACAATATATCCGCTTAGAATAAATTTAAAATAAAACCTATTCAGTGGTTAGTGTATTAAATAGATTCAGCATCTTTTAACGATTGATAGTCCTTTGTAAATGAATTTATTTGTCTAATGAACTGATAACAACTAGGGATGTTCCCAAGAATACCTTTTTTTAGCTCGGAAAAGAAAACAGGAAGGATATATGTGACATACTTGTTTTCTCTTAAGATTTTACAAACTCCCATGCTACCTTTTTTATTTTTTATTTGTAAAATTAAGTTTTTAATGTATGATATGTATTTGTTGTCTTACACTTACCCTTTTTGCTTATGCTATTTGCAACTAGATGTAGAATATACTTGTCTACCATTTATCAAAGCGCAGCTTAAATGTTATATATGACTGTTCTTATTCATCTTCCAGTTTGTAGTTAGTGGAAACCATAGCACTGCTTATTTCTGTTAGTATTCTTATGGATAGTATGTTGAAACAATTATAAATATGTCTGACCTCCACTTAATTGAGATCCCATAGATAGAGCCCGTAATTTTTGTGTTCCTCACATTTATTCACCACAGTGTTTTTACATTGTGTTTAGTTGTTAAATGAACATCTTCAGAAAAGCCCTATCCTGCCTGAGAACTAGAATTGTAGGATAGTTTGTGGGATAAAGTATATGATACATATTAATGATGCAAATATTTTAAATATTTACAATTTGTTGGTTTATATAAATTAGTTAAATAAGTAATAAAGTAATGAGCCCCAACTGTGTTGTGCTGGATTCTGCATTAGGAACTGGAAATACATAGATTAAAAATGCAGGGCTTCTGTCCTTGAGTATCATTCTTGTGGGAAAAATTAGTGTGTAAACAGATAATTGTGTCCTTTAGCAGCCTGCATTTATAATGGTGGGTTCAAAGGGGACTGCAACAGTGTAAAGGAAGGAGGAACATTTAAGTTGGCTTTTGATTGAAAGATTCAACGGAGAATACACTTGCAGGGATTTAAAGGAAGAGTTTGGGTTTGCCAGGTAGACAGACTGGGGAAAGCTTTCCAAACAGGAGGAGCACTAACTGCAAAGGCATGAAGGAATAAGGGAGCTTACTAAGTCAGAGCATGGTCAGTCTTTCTGGAACCAGCTACCATGACCTTAAATTAATGTATTTGAAGAATAACTGTTTGATAATTAAAAAAACAATTATTTTGGAAGTTTTTAACTTGTTTGGTTTTTCTAATTTATAATATTGTTACTTGAAAAAATGTTTGATTCTCTTCTTGGAGCTTATCTGTGTCTGTGAACAAAAACTGTTAACAGAGGAGCCAAGTAATTTGTTGCTGAGATTGTTTTTATTAATTTTTTTTTTTTTTTTTTGGTCAGTGACGGTGAGCATAGGCTTTGTAGTCAGACCTCATTTACATTTCTGCTCCATCACTTGCCAGTCTCTCTTAAGGCCCAGTTTTCTCATAGAAATTGTTGTGAGAATTAAATGAAAAATGCTTGTAAAGCACTTAGTGTGGTTCTTGGTATGTGTATGCCTATAGTAAATAATAGCTCTAAAGTACTTCTTCAGTGCTAAAAGCTCTACCACAGTGCTGGTTCCAGTTAATTGAATTATCTGGCTAGCAAGAACATCCTTTTAGTTCTCTCAAGTGTTTCAGGGCACTTTCTCTGCATTATGACTAGAGCATAGAGAAAACAGTTAAATTTTCATCAATGATTTAGATCTTATAGTTCCTTACAGCAGTAATGTGAAACATCAGTTCTTGTAGAGAGCTGTCATCTAGGAGATTGGGCTGGAATCTGTCTCCAGAGTATGCACTGTAGGGAGGTTTGAGGTTTGCATGCCTTTTGGTACTTTGTATGTATATGTTTTCTTCATTTCTTTCTTTCTTGCTATTTTACCCATAAACTTTTTTTTTTTTTTTTTTTTGATGGTGCTGGGGATTGTACTGAGAGCCTCGTACATACTTGGCAAGCATTCCGCCACTGAGCCCCATCCCTAGCCCCTCATAAACACTTTTATTAATTTTTTTTTTAGTCGTTGACAGACCTTTATTTTTATTTATTTACATTTGGTGCTGATAATCGAACCCAGAGCCTCACACATGCCAGGCAAGTGCTCTACCACTGAGCCCCAGCCCCAGTCCCTCATAAACATTTCTTAAGGTCAGCTTATATTCTTGCAGTTTATTTTCTTTTTCCTAAAAGAACAGTGGAGAAAAATGTTTTTCTCCTGTAATTAAACATCTTTAGGGATTGAAGTATCACCTTATCTATCATTCTTACTATAATTGATGAAAGCAAGACTCTCAGAAAAATTAATTGACTTGCTCTCTTTCAAATAGTTGGTTAGTAGAAGAAAATGTGAGGACTTAAACCATAGTTTTCTAACTAGGAGGTCTCCACAAATACAGCCTAGCAGTGGGAAATTAATTTCCACACCACCCATAAAGATGATTAGGCTGAAAAAGCAAAATCTTCCAGGAGAGGTTAAAAACCATTTTGCCTGGAATAGAAAAGGCTGAGGCAGAAAAGAATAATATTGGTTCTAGTGGGTGGTCCTAATGGCTGACTGGAGACAAGGACCAGAGAACACTGGTAACTCCTGGGTGGCAGTAACCCAGTAAATGGTCTTTGGAAGCCTAATATTCTGGCAACACAGAGGTTTAAGGATGTCTGCCACTGTTTGAATAACTTCTGAGACCTACAGCTCTGTCATGTTAAACTTGTAATGGTGCAGCTCATGAGCATAATGTATGTATAAAGTTAAGGTTTTAAGAGTGCGAAGCAGAACTCCAAGTGGTTGGTGGTTCAGGGGTTTGGATTTCCACCAGTGTCTTTTAACCTAAAAATCAGTTATTAAATTCCATTGGCATGTTTCAAAACTTTACAGATGATAAAATGGAAAGTTTTCTAATCACCATTCCTGGTGGAATTAGCATGTTCTTTTTCTAGGTTTTAAGGAAAAGATTATTTCAGTAGTATAGTATCTTCTTCACCTTTCAGAGGGCAGATTATTATTAATTTGGATGATGAAAGACTATAGTGAAATGAAGAAACATATTTTAGTAACCTTGCCTAAATCACAGGTGTGCAATAAAATGATGTGCAAAAGATACAACATGCTGCATATAATATCTTACCCTGTGGATATTTTTAAAAGGAATATATTTGTTTGAATATGCATAGTTGTACTGTAGTCGGATACATAAGACAGTGATACTGTAGCCAGGCATGGTGCACACACATAATCCTGCTTCAGGAGGATTATAAGTTCAAAACCATTTAGAAGGTCCTAAACAACTTAGCAAGACCCTGTCTGAAAATCAAAAAAATGCTGAGGA